CAAATCATCTTTTATTTAAATCAGTGTTTACTTACCAAAGCCAAAGGCTAATTTTTCCCTTGAGCTGGTTTGTGTCTTACCTCTTTTTTTCGTTTGGCTATTTAGTATGGTTTTTTGTTTAACGTGGCGAGTAGACCATTAGGGCCGTTGGGATCCTAAACACACAGAAAACTCTCCTGGTACTGTCAGTACAGTGAGGCCAGAAAAACAAAACAAAAAAGCCCCACAAACCTACGAGAGGGAACTGGCTACAACTGTGTGTTTTAGACGGACTTGATTTATGGAGCATCGGTCTTTTAATTGTATCCGTAGAATCAGGGACAGTGACAGAGAATATTCCATAGGTGGTTCTTAGGACTTTGGCCCTAAGGAAGGGTCCTGACAAAGGAGTCTGGATTCCAAGTCCCATTTCTTACTTGCTGAGCAATCCGTCCTGTAGCCAGGGTTGAGAGGACCACTTTTTTTTTTTTTTTTTTTTTTTTAAGTTTTTTTTATTAGAGACAGTGAGAGAGGAACACAAGCAGGGGGAGTGGGAGAGGGAGAAGCAGGCTTCCCGCTGAGCAGGGAGCCTGATGCGGGGCTTGATCCCAGGCCACTGGGATCATGACCTGAGCCGAAGGCAGACGCTTAACGACCGAGCCACCCCGGCGCCCCGAGAGGACCACTTTTGGAGGAAATTCCCAGATCACCTTCAGGAATTTTCACGGGGAGTAGGAGGCACAAGAGTGTCTCCAGGTGCAGCACGAGGATGCATCAGCGGGCAGGGGTCTTGGTGTCTCATACACATCTTGTTTCCCTCTGAGCACTCTCTGTGGGTCTCTGTGTTGCAGGTTCTCGCCAGAGAATACGGAACTTCTTACAACTTTAGGACTACTCTACTTACAGGTAATGAGAACTCTACTCATTCATGCACTGACATTAGAAATGCTTTTGGATTTGTGTGGATTGTTGCTTCCCTGCACTCTGAGTTTACTTTAACACATTCCACTAAAGGTTGTAGGAAGCACGTGAACCTTACTGTCTGCATTTGATATTCTTTGTCTGCTAAAGGAATGAATTTTCTGCATTCAAATCAGGCAGATAAGTCTGTTTGAGGCTACTGCAGTTCTAATTCTTACCCATGTAAGGAAAGGGCAGATATGAGAAGTAACTTGGGGGGCCGGGGCTGGCATCGTGTTGTTGTGGGAGAAGCTGTGAGGCAGCGGAGCACCGGCAGGGCTGGGGCCGGGGGCCATTTCTGTTGCTGCTTCTGCCCAGCCAGGTGCTACGGGAAAGAGAAGGAAGAGCGTTGTCTAGAATGAGAAGTCTCCTCTCCCCTCCACGGTTTTCCCGCATGTGAATGGCTTTCTTTTTTTTTTAAGATTTTATTTATTTATTTGAGAGAGAGAGAATGACAGAGAGAAAGAGAGCACATGAGGAAGGGGAGGGTCAGAGGGAGAAGCAGACTCCCTGCCGAGCAGGGAGCCCGATGCGGGACTCGATCCTGGGACTCCAGGATCATGACCTGAGCCGAAGGCAGTCGCTTAACCAACTGAGCCACCCAGGCGCCCCGTGAATGGCTTTCTTTTAGTGCCTCCACTTCTCTCTACCAGCCTGGCACCCCTGAGGCTGTCTCCCTGCCTGCTCCCCCCAAGCTCCTTAAGTTCCCTGCACAGCTGGTCCACCAGCTCTGCCTCTCGGGTGGCCTTTCTGTCTCTTCTGTTTTCTGGAGCTTACTCCTGGGCCTTCCTGGGCTTTGGCTTGGAGGCTGGCCCCCCGGGGGGTGAGGCTTACCTGCCCATGTCCTGCCGGGGAGGCATCAGTGCGGAGTGTAGGGGCTCCCGGCAGATGAAAACTTTGACCTTCAGGGGACAAATCAACAAATAGGGGGATTTTTAGTTTTTTGTTTTTTTTTTTTATCTGGTCTCTTGTAGCTCTTTTTTTATCATGATAACCAGAAAGCCTGGGTGTTGCTGTTCGGGGCATGGTTGGCCAGACTCCTCAACTGCTGTCTCCCCGCTGATGTAATTCTCTGGTTTGCTTTTTCTCCAAGCTCGGTATTTACCAGAAGGCATTTGAACACCTTGGAAATGCACTGACTTATGACCCTACCAACTACAAGGTATTGCACGTAGGCGGTCAAACCCCAGAGCCTTCACACAGACGCCCCCACTGCCGCCAAAGCTGACCTGGCCCTAGAAAGCAGAGCGGACACCTGTGAAATTACCTGCTTCTTAGAAAGATAATAAACAGACATGGCCTTTCTTTTTTGAACATACTGTAAAGTGTTAGCGCTCTGCTGCTTATTTTCTCCAAGCGCACATTTGCTGTCACGGGCCTGTCTGTCAGGCAGACAGTGAAATTGTTACACCAGTGAAGGTCCATGTGTTACTCAGGAAATGAGCAAGGTCTCTATAACTGCTGTCCGAGGAGATTCTGGTGAAGTGACTTCTGGGTTCTTAATGAATTTGCGAGGACAACTCTTGTCCAGATAGGACTCTGGGGCTGAGATCGTGCAGTGGATGGATGAACGTCATGGAGGATGAGATGCAGCAGAAGGGGCTTTGACAAAGGGTGCGGACCCGGTCCTGTCCCTTCTGTCACGGGAGGCATGGTAGGCTGATCCCGCCAGCTCCCGCCTGGGCGCCTTTCCTTGGAGAAACGAGGGCTGGGCTGCAGAGGCCTCCAGCTGACCCCCCTGGGTGGTACCAGAAGGAGCTGGACCTTAAGTGGCCAGACGACAGTTTCTGGGTTGTCAGGGGCACTTGGGGTACCAAGTAGGGGCTGTGGGGAACAGATGAAGGCCGCTTTTACTGCAAGGGCCTTGACTCTGAGATACTGACTTCCTGGACTAGAAGTAGGAAACAAATGAGTCAGGGCAAGTCACTGACATTTTATCTTTTCTTTTTCTGTACTGTGCCAGAGAAAGCCACAGTGGGTGCAGGGACGTTCCTCCCAAGCATCTGTCCCGAGAGCTTGAATATATTTTCTGTGGCCCTGAAGAAGTGTGTATGCCCTGTCCTTGCTGATGGGCCTGCTGAGTATCTACACCCAGGACAACTGCTTCACTGTGACTGCCTTTGGGGAATGGCTCCATTACTGGCTTTTCATGTCCTGTGTTTTCAGGCCATCTTGGCAGCAGGCAGCATGATGCAGACCCACGGGGACTTTGATGTTGCCCTCACCAAATACAGAGTTGTAGCTTGTGCCGTTCCAGAAAGTCCTCCGCTCTGGAATAACATTGGAATGTGTTTCTTCGGCAAGAAGAAATACGTGGCAGTGAGTGTCTCCCCATCATCCTTGTTTGTGTTCATACAGGCAGTTCCTGGGGCTGCCAGCCTGCCCCAGCCGCTCATCCGGTGCCCTCTCTCCCCCTCAGGCTATCAGCTGCCTGAAGCGAGCCAACTACTTGGCTCCCTTCGATTGGAAGATTCTGTATAACTTGGGCCTTGTCCACCTGACCATGCAGCAATATGCGTCGGCTTTCCATTTCCTCAGCGCAGCCATCAACCTCCAGCCAAAGATGGGGGAGCTCTACATGCTCTTGGCTGGTAAGAGACATTTGTGGGGAGAGCCCCTCTGTAGTCTGTGATGACGGAAAATGATCTAGAATTACGAGGTCAGTGGTTAAATGTCCCGTAGAAGCCAGTGCCTCGCAGATCTTACAGGAGCCTAGTTGAGTGTCCTGGAGCTTGAAAAAGAAGACAGAATATCTGGTTGCTTCTAGCCTGGGGGCATTTCACTTAGAGACCAACAGGTTAAATCAAGATCATCCCTAGTTCATCTTTTCCCAGTTTTCCCTGACTTGACAATTTATTTACATATATATATAGAGAGAAAAAGAGAGTCCAACTAAGTTCCAGATACCATTGAGTGTTAAGAGCTTGGGCTTTAGGAAGGGTCCTCCTTCCACTGAGTACTGGTTGGATCTCATAGTAGAGGGGGAGGATTACATAATTAAATAACCAATGAATATTAACTATTGGTTTTTTGTCATTACATAACTGGTCTATTATTATTAATGTGAGTGTTACTAAAACATTAAAGTACTGACTAATTTCTGGGGGATATTTCTCCACATACTAGACTTAACTAAATGTAAGCCTGAAAGCACTTTTCCATATTCTCATTGACAGTGTGGGGTCTTCAGGTGGGTTTTTTAAAATCATTATTGTGGGGCTCTTACTTATAAGAGGAAGGTTGCAAAAGCAAATTGAATGGTGGTTCACTGGGGGTTGCCTGAATATGGAGCAAGCTCTGTTCTGATGGGGATGCAGGAATGGGAACAGACAGCCCGACTATAAGGCATGAGCAGTGTTCTGACTTCCCAAAGTAGAGATGGCCTTCACACTGCATTCTGAAGGCTTGGCTGGAACTCACTGGCAAGGCGTGGCTGAGGAGGTGGGAGAAAAGGTGTGCGGCCCGGAGCGGCCGTGTGGGCCCTGCCCTGAGCGGCAGTTCTGTGTGGAGCGCGGTGCGGGGGAGTGGGGTGGGGTGGGGGCGTGGGGTGGGGTGGGTGGGAGAGATGGTCTGGGGCCACCTCACGGACCGCACGAGCGGAATGCCTTTGGATAAAGGACTTTGGTCTTTATCCTAGAGGCCGAGGTTTTCCAACTGTATTCCTAGACTGCTTACGTGCCCGGTGGAAATGACGCATGGCTGGTGGGGAGGTGGAGTGGGTCCGGCTTCCAGACAGCTCTGTTTTGCTTTGTTTTATAGAACAGGCTTCCAGAAAATACTGATTAAAAAGGAGACTGTGTTCTGTTGCTAAACAAAAGTTAAAGATCAAGGTTTTGGGTGACAGAGAACCAGTGAGGATTCTTAAGTCAGGTGGTGACATGGTCCGATTTGTTTGTAAGTCAGGGCGACCTCTGGCAGCTTTGTGGCAAGTGGATGGAGGCAGATGGGGACCTTGCTGTGGGGATAAAATGGCAAGCCTGAAACAACTCGCACCTGAACAAGGGCGGTGTCCGAAAAGAAAGCGCAAAAAACAGGATTCTCGAGACGTGGCCACTGGCTGCCTGCAAGGAGGGGCCGTCCGAGCCGATGAGGACACTGGGGCGTCCAGGCTGCGCGACTGCAGGCCGTGGCTCCATGAGCTGAGAGGGCAAGGGATGGGCTGAGTGAACGGTGGCCTTGAAACATTCCTTCTGTTTTCTACGCTGGGCTATCCAGCCGCGGTGCCCACTTTCTTTGTTGCAGTGGCCCTGACCAATCTGGAAGATCCAGAGAACGCCAAGAGAGCCTACGCAGAAGCCGCCCGCCTGGACAAGTAAGCTGCTCTGGTGGGAGTGGTAGCGGGGTGGGCTGGACTCCCCGAAGCCACCAGGTGGCGCCACAGCCCGGGTGTTGCTCTCAGAGGCCTAACTGCGGAAGCCAGCGGGCCTTGGCACAGGGTAGAGAAAGTGAGGGAGGGAGACTGACTGACAGCCATGGGTGGATCAAGGGGGTGGTCCCTCCCCAGGGGGTCACTGCAGGGCCCCAACTGCTCCCCAGGATGGATGTGAGATGGGAAAGGTGACTGGGGGACCTTCACTGACAAAGTGGGCAGGAGGGGTGGGTGAAGGGCTTCCGCTAGCCCAGACCACAGGGGCCCCTCTGCCCCACTCATTGCTCTGCCCCGCCCCCCCCCAATCTGCACTTTGATTTACCTTCCTAACCGCTCTGTTCCCTCCTGCTTTGGTTTTAATAAATATTTTGATGGTGGAAAAAAAAAAAAAGCTGGAACTGACGTGGGCTCTTTCTGAGAAAACGTTTCCAGCCCTGAGTTTAGCAGTCGGGGCCAGAGGAGACGGCAGTGGGCTTGGGCTGCTGACGGCCATGGGCTGGCTGGAATAGCAGATGGGACTCTGCGCTTGGTTTAAGATAAACCTAACTCTCCTGGGATTCATTCTACCGGTGTCTGCCGGGCAGCAGGCTAGGGACCCCTGTTTTCAAGCCTGCCCGGGGAGGGGGTGGGGCGCTGTTGAGGGCTGGAACGGCAGACTCGCTCCCACCACCTCCTGCTTGGCTGGTTGGGCAGTTGCGGCCGTGATGCTTCTCCAGAGGTCCACACAGTATGTGTTCTCACCTTGCTGTAGAATGGAGAAGTCTCTACTTAACCAGTTTGTGCCTGGTTTTTTTGTGCAACGAGAAGGATCTCTGAATGAGCACGGTTGCAGAGCCTGAGCCCCACAGAATCCCTCTTTGCCACAGGTGTCAGCCTTTAGTGAACCTCAACTATGCAGTGCTGTTGTACAAGCAGGGTGAGAAGGAAGGCGCCCTGGCCCAGTACCAGGAGATGGAGAGGAGCGTCCGCCTGCTCAGGGACAGTGGCTCGCTGGAATTTGACTCTGAGGTGTGTCCTTTATTAGCTTCCAGGAGGCTGGCTGGGGACTTTTGAGCCAAGCCCATATACTCCGAATACAAGGTATCTGAAAGGTTCATGCCCGTTTCAGCTTTGAGGTTCCTGGCAGCATGAAATCTTTAGTCATCGCCTGAGGAAGAACTTTCCCAGAAGAAAGTAGTAAGGGGAGATTCAGGCTGAGTTATGTTATTGATAGAATACAACTGAGTTGAGGTCTGTGTCTCCTTGCAGCTCCCTCCCACTTCCCCTCTTATAAGAAAGGCAGGAGTTTAGCCCTGTAGCGCACTGACCTTGGATCTTCGGGTTCTGAGGCCCTGTATGCATTCCTGTGCCATCCACTAGGGGGGATCTGTATTCTCTGCTCTTGGAGAAGGATTTCCTTGCAATAAATGCTTCCTCTCTCAAATACTGGTACCGGCAAACACGATTTCAGCTAAACTCCCTGGTGGAAGGCCTAAGAAGAAGTAGGTAGGCTTGTCTCTGCCAGTGATATCTGTGACTCTTTTTTTCTTCCCATGTGGGCACTAGATGGTAGAGATGGCTCAGAAACTGGGAGCTGCCCTCCAGGTCGGGGATGCACTGGTCTGGACGAAACCAGTTAAAGATGCCAAGTCAAAGCACCGGACCACTTCAACAGGCAAAGCTGCCGGTGTCCAGCAGCCTCTGGGCTCTAATCAAGCTCTGGGACAGGCGATGTCTTCAGCAGCTGCACACAGAAAGCTCCCCCCAGGTAGGAGGCTCCTTGGGGGTACAAGCCGCACGTGCCAGCAGAGAGATGACAGCTTTAAGTGAGGCTCAGACTCAGAACACGTCTAAGTAGTGTTTCCTGGAAGGGGAAAAAAGCCATAAGCTGGCCAAATTGGCACTTGCTTTCTTAAGGCAAGTTGTGCAGTAGGGAACAGCGACTGGGAGGCTTCGGTGAATGGTTAAAACACAGGGGCTTGGGGCGCCTGGGGTGGGGCTCAGTTCGTTGGGTGTCTGCCTTCGGCTCAGGTTGTGATCCCGGAGTTCTAGGATTGAGCCCCAAAACATTGGGCTCCCTGCTCAGTGGGGAGCCTGCTTCTCCCTCTGCCCCTCACCCTGCTCGTGCTGTCTCTCTCTCAAATAAATAAAATTATTAAAAAAAAACCCAAAACACTGGGGTTTAACACTATTCAAGGTTAGCAATAGACGACAGTACCTTCTGTTACGATAAAGTGGGGAAAATTAAAGCAAGACTACATAAGTCAGCATGGGGGCAGGTAACTGAAGATTTTTCTCAGTGAGTCTTTGAAGGCAAAGTGGACTAACTTCATAGCTGCAAAGATAGACCACAGTCCCATTGGTTCTAGAAGATATGGGGTTTCTTTTTTAAATTTGACAATAAAAACCATGATTTCTTCCAGAATTGTGGAACTGAGAACTCCCACTATTTGTTTTGTTACTAGGTGCTGGAGGGACATCCCAGCTCACAAGGCCACCGTCTCTGCCTCTGGAACCAGAGCCCGCTGTGGAAGCACACCCAGCTGAAGCATCAGCACCAAGGAGAGAAAAACGGGAGGAGGATGACCCCGGAGTAGGGGTTTCTTCGGTAAGGATGTAGCAGGTTAGGAAAGGTCATGTAACACAGGCAGCAAGGTGGCCAGTGTGTCCCCTGGACACCAGGGGACGCGGAAGTGTTATGATGATCGCAAGGAGCCTGCAACCGACTCGGCCTCCCGTTAGCCCCGTCAGCCTGGAGATAGGAGAGGGCCCAGACAGGTCCTTTAAGAATTAAGTGCAAGGCTCATGGCTCTGTGTTTGTAGCTCCAAGAGCCAGCAAGGCACATGATGCTGTTTGCTTTTGAAATGACTTCGACCTCCTGGATGACTGACCCCTTCCTTTGTGGAAGGAAAGTCTGAGGCTGACCTCTGCTCAGGAGCCCTGTTACGGTGAAGCCTTGGCTTAGCTGAGGTGATCCTCAGGCTGTGGGGCTTGGCAGCCCTGAAGGCAAACACAGATCTTGGATTAGTAATCCAGCTCTAACAGCCTAAATTTAAGGGGAAAAATGATGAAAAAAACCTATATAAATCGAGGCCCAGCCTGTTGGATATTCCAGCTGCACCTGTCCAAGGGAATCCCAAACAAGTCCCTCTGTTCTTGAGAGACGTCAGAGCGTATGCAGAGCCAGATCATGTTAGCAACGATGAGAAGTAGGAGTGAAGGGCTGGGCTAGTATCAGCACCAAGAATGAAAAGGAAAAAAAGAGCTTCTTAATTTTTACTTAATCAGTGATACCCCTGGCCAGATGCTATCAGTACATCATCTATATGTCCTTTTTAGAATAAAGATTATGTATCATCATCCCTTTGGGGAAAGTTGTTAAGTGTAAAAAGAAGAGATCACAATAAAACCTTTTTAAAAGAACCTGTGATCACAGTCTTCTCTTACCTGCTTCCAAAACTAGTTTGAAACCAGAGAAGGCACCTCATGGCCAAGTTCCTGTTAGTGCTCGCACAGCTTCTGCTGCTGCCCTGACGGGTGGGGGGCCAGCAGTTTGCACTTAAAGTGCCCTATAATCACCAGAATTTGAAGGTGAGGACAGACCTATTGCCAAACTATATGAAGGAGTTTTTTATATTATGACTGGGTCTGTTTTGACATTGAGGCAGCAGCTAAGTGAGCAGAAAACTCTGCGGTTCTGGGGGTCTCAGAGATACCCGACAGCGTAGCGGCAGCAGGTCCCTTACCCGGCGGCAGGTTCGTGGCAGACCTGGGGTCTACCCCCCGCGCAACTGAGAAAGCTCACCTCTATCTCGGTGTGGGGTCTAGTGTGCCTGCAACTGGAAGGTCTTGGTGAAAAATAATAAGGGTATAAACTAAGAGGAGGAGGAGAGGGGGCTCTGGGAAAGATTTGGGAGGTCAAGTCAACAGGAGTTGGGGGCTGGAGGTAGCAGGCGAGAACAGACTGTCGCATGGGCACGTGCTGCTGGGGAGAGTTACACAAATCAGAGAGGAGGGACATTGGGGGACTCGGGTGGAGGGTTGTGGAGTCTAGTTTTAGACGTGTTTATCTTCGAGACATCCAGATGATGACAGTAGACACTTGAACAGCTAGATTTCAGGTGCGAAATCTGGCTTGAAGGTAAGGATGCAGGAGTAGCTTAATTTGGGTGATGGCTGAAACCACAGATTTGAAAGGAGTCCCCAGAGGAAAGCTAGGAACAAGAAGCCAGGGGGACCAAAAGCGGGAAACAAGTATTTAAAGGGAGAAGCAGAAGAGCCTACAAAGGAGACAGAAGCAAGTGACAGTGATAGAGACAAACCCAGGAGAGTGGTGTTGGGGGAGGCCAGGGAAGGACAGGCTCAGGAAGGGATCAGTCTCCGTGAGCCCTCCCAACAGAGCAATACTATTATCCCCTCTCTGTAAAGGAGGAAGTGGAGGTTGGGAGAGGTATAATGAGTTTTCCATGGAAAGTGGTGGATCAGGATTTGAATCCAGGTCTGGATGCATAGCTCCTGCTCTTAACTGTTACCCATGCATTCATGACATACTTTTTTTTTTTTTTTTTTTATTTCTAAGCTACATGGTTCATCTGAGTTTTTTTCAAATTGTCACAGATCTCCAAAAGATTTTCCAATGCATTTACTGAAAAAAATCAAGTTCAAGCCCACGTTGTTTGGGGCTCAGCTGTACTAGGTCGTACCGTTGGGCATGTGGATTCACAGCTTCTCATTCACTCTGGTGAGAAAGGAGCTATTCTAATTTCTAATATGGGAGTTGCTCATGTCCTCACAGTTTTTCACAGAATTAGGAAAATGAGGCAAAGTACATGATCACAGACACAGACGTGGTTTTTAGATGGCTTGAACTGAGGCAGGAAAGTGCAAGTATAAACCAGCATATGAGAAAAGTGCCCTTTTTATGGAGTATATTAGTACAAAACTGCATTCCAAAGACAGTAAAGCTTTGGAATGTATGATTATAATCATTTTGTTTTTGAGAAGGAGGGGGGAGGGGCAGAGGGAGAAGGGAGAGAGAGAGAATCTTAAGCAGGCTCCACGTCCAGCACGGAGCCAGAGCTGGATGGGGCTCAATCTCAACGCTGAGATCATGACCTGAGCTAAAATCAAGATTGGATGCTTAGCGGACTGAGCCACCCAGGTGCCCCTATGATCATTTGGTTTTTAAGGAGGAATCATTATTGTCTGATAATAGCAGAGTAGCTCATGTTCGACCAAGCCTCCAAAGATAACAAATATGAACAAGTAGCTAAATATAAAATACTAGGTTTTAATTTTTTAAAAATGATATTACTGTTCCAAGCAAAAAATTGTGAGGTTTAACACATATAACTAAGGAAGGGGGTACATGGAACTCTAGGCTTGAAAGGTTTAATTTTTAAGATTTATTTGAGAGGGGGGTTGGGTCAGAATCTTCAAGCAGACTCCCCACTGAGTGTAGAGCCCAACACGGGACTCCATCCCACAACCCATGAGATCATGACCTGAGCTGAAACCAAGAGTTGGACACTCAACCGACTAAGCCACCCAGGGGCCCCTAAGATTTTATTTTTTAAAGTAATCTCTACACGCAGCATGGGGCTCAAATGAACCTGAGATCAAGAGTTGCACACTCTTCTGACTGAGTCAGCCAGGCACCTCTGGAAATTAAAATTCTAAAAAATTTACAATTAGTACCCTCCTCCCCTAAAGGGCAGGAAAAGAAGAACCAAGGACCGGGGCACCTGGGTGGCTCTGTTGTTAAATGTCTGCCTTCGGCTCAGGTCATGATCCCAGGGTCCTGGGATCGAGCCCCGCATCAGGCTCCCTGCTCAGCGGGAAGCCTGCTTCTCCCTCTCCCTCTGCTTATGTTCCCTCTCTCACTGTGTCTCTGTCAAATAAATAAATAAAATCTTAAAAAAAACAAAAGAACAAAAAAAAGATGGGACAAAGACAAAATAGATAGCAAAATGTTAAATGTGAATCCAGTCATGTCCATAATTACATTAAAGTGTGATTAGACTAAAGGAATTGGACTGTACATTTCAATTAAAAAGTAGAGAAAGGAGGGGCGCCTGGGTGGCTCAGTCATTAAGCATCTGCCTTCGGCTCAGGTCATGATCCCAGGGTCCTGGGATCGAGCCCCGCATCGGGCTCCCTGCTCGGCGGGAAGCCTGCTTCTCCCTCTCCCATTCCCCCGGCTTGTGTCCCCTCTCTCACTGTGTCTCTCTCTGTCACATAAAAAAAAAAAAATTAAAAAAAAAAAGAGAAAGGATAAATAAATCTGCCACTGAAAGCAAAAGGATGGAAAAAGCTATACCATTCAAGCTACAGGCCTAAATCTGGAGAGCTATATTAATGTCAGATAAAGTAGACTTCAAAACAAGGAGCATTACCGGAAATAAAGAGGGACATTTCATAATAATAAAAAGTTCAATTCAGTAGAAGAAACATAACAAATATGTATGTACCTAACATTATTACTTCAAAATAGATGAAGTAAAAATCGATAGAATTAAAGCCACAAACTTGGTTGGATATGTTAGCTCTCCCTCTTACCAGCAATTGTTAGAATTAGTAAGTGTAAGGACATACAAACCACCTCGACTTAATTGACATTTACAGAACACTACAACCAATAACTACAGAATATACATTCTCTGCAAGTGCTCTTAGGACATTCAGCAGGACACACCATGTACTGGGCCATATGATAGGTCTCAGAGTGAAAAGACTGAAATTTACACAATATGTTCTTGGACCACAGTGAAATTCTATTAGAAATTAGTAACAATTGTATGTCTTCTTTGGAGAAGTGTTTGTTCATGTCTTCTGCCCATTTATTGACTGGATTATTTGTTTTTTGGGTGTCGAGTTTGAGAAGTTCTTTATAGATCTTGGATACCAGCCCTTTATCCATAATGTCATTTGCAAATAGCTTCTCCCAAAACAAATAATCCAGTCAAGAAATGGGCAGAAGACATGAACAGACACTTCTCCAAAGATATACAAATGGCTAACAGATACATTAAAAATGTTCCAACATCATTAGCCATCAGGGAAATACAAATCAAAGCCATAATGAGATACCACCTCACACCAGTTAGAATGGCTAAAATTAATAAGACAAGAAACAACAAGTGTTGGCATGGATGCGGAGAAAGGGGAACCCTCCTACACTGTTGGTGGGAATGCAAGCTGGTACAGCCACTCTGGAAAACAGTATGGAGGTTCCTCAAGACGTTAAAAATAGAGCTACCCTACAACCCACCGATTGCACTACTAGGTATTTACTGCAAAGATACAAATGTAGTGAAAAGAAGGGCCATATGCACCCCAATGTTCATAGCAGCAATGTCCACAATAGCCAAACTGTGGAAGGAGCCGAGATGCCCTTCAACAGATGAATGGATAAAGATGTGGTCCATATATACAATGGAATATTACTCAGCCACAAGAAAGGATGAATACCCACCATTTGCAATGACATAGATGGAACTGGAGGGTATTATACTAAAGGAAATAAATCAAGCAGAGAAAGACAAATATGTGGTTCAACTCATATGTGGAACATAAGGAATAGTGTGGAGGACCACAGGGGAAGGGAAGGAAAACGGGGAAGAAATCAGAGGGAGATAAACCATGAGAGACTCTGGACTCTGGGAACCAAACCGAGGGTTACAGAAGGGAAGGGGGGGGATGGGGTAACCGGGTGATGGGTGTTAAGGAGGGCACATATGGTGATGAGCACTGGGTGTTATGCACAACTAATGAATCACTGAACACTACATCAAAAACTAATGATGTATTATACGTTGGCTAATTAAACATAATAAAAAGAAACTAATAAGATATGTCGAAAACCCCAAAGTATTTGGAAATTAAACACACTTGTAGTATCTCAAGAAAAAAATCAAAAGAGAAAATATTTTGAATAATGAAAACAAATCACAATTTGTAGGACTCAGCTAAAAGCAGTGCATATAGGAAACATAACTGTAAATGCTATTAGAACAGAAGAAAGGCAGAAAACCAGTGATAGAGGTTCCTACCTTAAGCTAGAAAAAGAAGAGCAAAATAAACCCTAAATAACTACAGAGCAGACAAATATTAAAGATCTAAAAAGCCAGAAGCTCTATGAAAAAAAAAAAAAAGACACATCCCCAGCTAAACTGATGAAGGAAAAAGGAGGCGACAAATCAGGATATGAAGATACCAGGAATGAAGAAAGGGATAGCATTACAGATCGTATGGAAGTGAGAGAGAGCAAGGAACATATGAACCATTTATAACAATAAGATGGACAACTTGGACACAATAGACATTTTTGAAAATGAACAACATACTGAAATTGAAATAGAAAGCCTTAATATTAAAAGTCCTATCAAAGAAATTGAATTTATAAATCAAAACCTACCCGAAGC